TTTTCCTTGCTTTACTGCTTAAATGGCTTTGTCTCTAGCTAGATGCCAAGACAGCTAGGACCACTTAGAATCAAGGTTTCATATTAATGTCCATTCTGTCAAGTTTTTGCATTTTCCATGTTTCGTTGGCACACACTTCAAAATTAACAGCCCACTACAACTTGATCATGGATCATTGCTTCACCTTCACGTACAAGAAATATAAACAAATAAAATATCCGTCCACTCGCCTCCAACAGCATCAGTCTTGGCCTCTGTTTTACCAACACTCCTTTCTTCAATTTCTCATCATGTGGACAGCTCCTCCTTGCACTACTCTAACCCACCCTCTTTTTAACAGAGGATATGAGGTTTCGCTATTCCTATAAAAAAGACTTTTAAAGCAACAGGAAGCGAAAGAACTAAATGGAACCACAAATTGACAGCTGCTTGCTCTCGTATATGAGAAATATGATAAGAGTAGAAATTATAACCCTCAATCCTTACCACAACTTCCCAAGTTTTGGTTTAGTTGAAGAGGTTAAATAGTATCAAAGCAACTCAGGTTCTAATCCCATAGGTCATGCATCAAAAAGGGGATTAAATAAAATATCGCAGTTAATCCAGGTTTCGGCACATAACAAGGATGCTAAAACTGCAGATGCATTTTAGATGACAAAATTAGAAGTTTATAACCCTAAATCCTTACCGCTTTGGACTTTTAGTGGAACAGAGTTTCAACAAGATGCTATTCACTTCAATACGACAAACATGGGAGGCTAAGAAAGACTACTACTTGAGCTTTTGGGAACTCCACACTTGAACAGTTTATTTGGTACATTATTTAGTACACATACATACAACAGGCTAAGGGGAATGCTTGAGACAGATCATCACCGTGTATTTGCACCATTAGTTTATATGTAAGTTAAAAGTATAAAACTATACACATGTTAGAGAAAATTTAATTTCTTTGAATCATGTATGGGAGGATAGGCAAAGAGATCTTCCATGGCTCCACTCCCGATACAATGTTTGCTATATTATTTAGTAAGCACCAAGCAATATAATCCGTATTAAACAATATCATGTAACGAGAATCATAGAATATTGCAGCCAGAGAACTGGTTGTGTGGCATGGGTCATTAAGCTGGGCTTGAACAGTGAATCTAGAAATGTAAGCTTCAAGTGTAAAATCTTACCTGCCCAGATATTTTACGCGCTTTACTTGAAGAGATGTTAGAAGCCGTGCTGGATTTTTTATGTAATTCTGATTTTTTCTGTAATTCTGGAACTCTTCTTGTGACCTGTACATGGATCTCTCCGCTCTTCACTCCTTGGAGAGGTATCCACTTTTCTACTGTTTGATTTGGAGGTAATCTTTCATACTCCACAACACAGTCACCTATGTTATAAGTGGGAAGTAAAGCATTGTGATCCTTCACATGCAAAACAAGACGATCGCCTGTTTCAGGGAACTCTAGGGTCTGGTTCCATTGAGGATTTAGTGTCTTATGAACCACCTGCATTAAATGTAATGATTGAGTTTGTGTTTCTAACAAATGATACATTATAAAATAATGAATAAGTCAATTAATGCATAAGAAGTTTCCTGAAGGACCAAAAAACTCTTTATAGACGAGGTTCTATTAAGCAAATAAAGATTGCAGAATAAAAGACGGAGGAGAACCGACAAAGATAGAAACAGCAACGAGCTGAAAATGGCCTAATAATGTAGGATGTTATAGGTAACAAGAAGACGGAAAGAACTAATATTAATGGATGGCACTTGGCAGTAATAGAAATTGAAGAAGATATTCATTTGGCATCACCCTGTATAACAGACAAAAGTACGGACAGCGAAGAGCTAAAATGGCCTAATAAACTGAGATTACACCTACAAAAGGTGGAGAGGGAAAGAACTATTGTCATGGATTGAAGTTATAAATATTTAAGCAAATCCTTATATGGTATCACACTGTATAGGAATCATTGATGGAGTAGTCACAGATCTATTCAACATATCGAGCAAAGGAATTGATGGTTATGGCCATTATCATGAATTCTCAAAAGATCCCCATTAAATAAGTTTTTTATTTTGAACTTTCCCTAATTATTAAGAACTAGACTATAATAAATCTTGGAAAAGTTCATGTAAAATACACATTAAACATTCATATAAATGTGCTAAAAAGCTGAAGAAAAGATGGCAAACCTTTGTTCGTTTTTTCATGTTACCATACTGCACCCTTACATAAGGATCACTTGTTCCTCTTAGATCAGCAGCAATAAGGTCCCTAGCTTCGATTAGGACTAGTTCGATGGTTCCAGATCTCGGTGGAGAATTCTGCTGAAATCCAGATGAAAAGCCATCAAATTCCCAACTGAAAGTAAAATAATAAAATTTCAAACTTATTACATTGAACATAAAAAGATCACTGTCTACCACTATTTTGTACCAGGCTGAACTCAAAAACACTTGATTCTTGTATTTTATGCGCTTCTAGTGATGTAACCAAACAGTGGATTTCCATTTGCTTACACTCTAAAATTGAATTTTCCTTCCAAAGTAGGAAAATCCAAGTCCATATATCTACCTATATACATCTACCTATATACATCCTGCGTGCAAACACACACACACACACATTGAATTTCCTTTCAGCAAGTAGCCAAGTATACATGTATATCTGTATGCACACATGAATATACTTTTTTCTTTGTGTGTGTATGTGCAAGATCATGTGATCTGAAAGCTTCTTCTCTAGTATCTACTATCAAGCAAATTAAAATAAAAACATTTTGAAACTCTTTTTAAAGTCCTTTCCACTACGGTGACTATTTTAAGACTCTGAAGTTGTGGGCTGAGGTTTATAACTTTATACTCTAACGAGTCTCTAAAGTTTTGGTCAAGGTTGAGATGTATAAGTGTATGTTCTATGCATAGTTGCGTGATTCCCTAGAGACCCCCCACCCAAAAAAAACCACCACAAAATAAAACCAATTCAAGATACACTTACGAATTGATTCCCTCCGATACACAAATTGATTCCCCAAAATTGACGTACCGCTTACAAATGTGCAAGGCAGACACTGCCTTTAGGTGCACATGTGCAATCGAGTGAAGCAAGGAGCATAATAGAATATATGAGCCAGCGACTTTACTATAACCATGTACCTATATTAATAAAACGTGAAACGAAACCATGATCCCAACACGAACTATGTGAAAAGGAAAATAGAACAAAAAGAACAAACTCTATAAAAAAAGAAATATTTAAGTATGTTGTATGAAAAAATATTAGAATACATAATAAGCTTTCAACTTCCTAGTTTTGTACTATACACTTTGGAAAATGATAAGCACGCCCAAAAAACTTACGACGTACCACTAACCAAACTTCCATACGAAAGTAAACCAACCCATTTCGAATCCAAATTTTCCAAGTGGCGAATTGCGGACCTGAACTTGTAACACAACCTGCTAGTTATCATGTACTATGTAACCATGAGGCTCTATGTACATCTACTATACGCAACGGCCGAATCAAGTAGCATTTTTCTTGCCTTTTTTCTTTTTCTTTTTCTTTTTTCTTTTTGTCGCGGAGAGGGGGGTGTCTATTTACCAAAAAATAAAAAATAAAATATTATAAAACTCTACTATCTTATGTGCATGTACTTAATATACTATTGTTGAAATTATAAAAAGGCTTTTACTTTCCAACTAGCTACTTCAAATTTTTTTTTTTTTTTGTGTTTATAGATAATTTAGGGCCAATGGTGCTATTTTTAAAATTTATGGGCGCATATATAAAATTTACATGACTTTGCATGTAATTTTCTAAATGTTTAGGGGTGCAACTGCACCCGTAGCTAGGCTTCGGATCCGCCTTTGTATATACGTGCATGTCCGATAGGATTTGAACTTGGGTGGCTTCGGTACCATCTTAAAACCCCTTGTCTACAATAAGACTCTGATGTTATGGTCAGGGTTGAGGTGTATAACTCTGATGTTATGGTTAGGGTTGAGGTGTATAACTTTATGTTCTATAACCTCTCAGTTTCAGACACACAAACACATGAGTAGAAAAATCCAAACCGTTTGGTTTTTTGCCGTGATAGGTTCCAGAATATGTGGATTTCACAAAACATTTTAAAGAACCATCCAATTTGGATGGTCTGGATTTCTTAAAGTGTATGCATCTCTTACATTGCTCCCCATACACATGGTAACATTTTCCATGCATGGTTCTAATAGCAGTTGTAACTGTTAGAAGAAAGTAATAGTTTAGCATTAGTTTAGTCCCACATTGTCTGTGAGATTAACTTGTAACTAATCCATCTCTATAAATAATAAAGTATAGAGTGAGGGGAGAACTCTTAAATACTCTTTTCTCTCCAAATCTCAACATGGTATCAGAACATATCCGTAGCTCCAACCCTAATACTAATCCAAATTCCTAAACCTAGCCCTAACCCTAGGTTAGTAGCCTGTCTCCAAAACCCTAGCCGCCAAAACCCTGCAGTCGCCTCTCTGAAACCCTAACCCTAATTATCGCATCTTCACATCCAAAGCACCCGCCGGCAACCAAGCTCATCTGTTGTCCTCGTCCTCACCATCGTCATCGTCCTCATCTTCCTTGTCATCATCATCGCCATCATCGTCCTCGTCCTCGTCCACCTCATCCATGCCCCCCCCCTCGAGCTCATTCGTCATCCGATCTAGATCTGCAACCCGACGCCGCTTGCCGTTGATGACCGTCGCCACCATGAGGCCCTCGCTCGCTGCCGCCATGCCAGCCGCTCGCCGCTCTCTTTTTGATTTTGGACCTGAATCAGATCTGCGAGTTGCCCTATAAAAAAACCTTCAGATTCCATCTTAACCTTTGAGTTCCATGTTAACCTTCGTATTCTTGCACTTTAACATTCGGGTTCTTTGACTTATTCGGCTCACTGGCTAATTCAAGAATTATTTTCTTGAACTTAGACAGACATACTTTGATTGTATCCATTTTGGAGTACAACTTGTGGAGGGTATTGTCTTGAACTCTACTCGTCTGTTTCATGATGGTCGGATCTGAGAAACTCAAGAATTCTGAGTTAACGGTCAAGACGAAAGTTTCGGAGATACTTTCTGGTAGAATCACTGACCGGAAGCTTGATGGAATTAACTATCTCCAGTGGAAACATGTTATTAAAATCTACGTGACAGGTCGAGGCAAAACTGGTCATTTGTCGACAGACCCTCCTACTCCGACACCAGAATCTAGGACATTGGATGATAGTGTCCTTTTGCATCAAATTCTTAATACTATGGAGCCTAAAATTCAGGGTTTAGTTCTTCATTGTATGACAATGAAGAAACTTTGGTGCTTTTTGCAAGATCTCTATGGGGGTAGCGGCAATATTAATCGGGCATATAAAGTAATTCAAGAGCTGTTTCGTAAGAAACAAGATGGTAAACTCATGGATGATTATTATGGTGAGTTCAATTGTCTGACTGAGGAACTTCGTCAGATTTTTCTTATTACGGAGGATGTAAAATAAATGCAGAACCAATGAAACAAACTTATGGTACTCACCTACTTGGGTACCCTCGATTTTATTTACTCATCTGCTCGATCACAAATCATGGGGAGCTCCGCCATTAGTTCTATGGCTGAGACTTATCACTTTCTGAAGAATGTTATCCCAGCACAGTCACTTACATCCACTGCGGATCGCTCTGCGCTTGCCACTCAGAGTTGACAGTCTTATGGACGAGGAGGTCATACTAGTGGTCCTGGAAGATGTAGAGGAAACTTTGAAGGGAGGGGAGACTATCACACTGATCGTTCTGGGGGCCTAGGTGATCAACGAGGTGGCCGTGGAGGTCCATCTCAAGGCGGACACGCTCATAGCGATGACTCAGTGAAGACTTGTAACTACTGCCACCAGCTAGGACATCTCAAATATAATTGTCCTGAATTAGAAAAAAATAAAGCTAATGGTGCTTACATGATTACTCAAGATAACTTCACATCATCTGATAGTGAAAGTCAACCAGAGTCACTCTTCCATGATGCGAAGCTGTAGCGTTAATTTCAGAAATTTCAATTATTCCAACAGTACCAGAGTTCACAAACATCGTTTTCCTCCTTATCCGCTAATCTCAAAAGTGCAGATACCCCTTTATCTTTACTTACATCATCTTCGTCTAATACTTGAATTATAGATACAATTGTCACTGATCATATGACTGGAAATCAATGTATCTTGTCATCTTTCTCCCTTACATCTAATTTAGTTATATTAGCTGATGGTTCACGTACACCTGTTCAGGGTGTCGACAATACCAATCCTACTCCTAGTCTTCCTTTTTCCTCCGTATTCTATCTTCCTAATTTTTCCTATAATATTTTATCTGTTAGTAAGATTACTAAATCTCTAAACTATACAGTGACATTCTTCCCCACACATCATGTCTTTCAAGACCTGGTCACGCGAAAAACGATATGGACAATACATGAGCAGAACGGCCTTTACAAACAGGAATTCGACGTCAAACATTTGGCTTGTATCGAAAACTTATCAGCCCTACAATACCACTGTCAACTAGAACATCTCTCTCTGTTCTCAAGCTTCTTAAACCACAGTTCAAATCTCTTTCCTCTTTAGAATGTGAGTTGTGTTAACTTGACAAACACCATCATGTGTCTTATCCTAATCGCGTCAATAAGAGGGCTGTTAAGCCATTTGATTTTGTTCATTCTGATGTCTGGAGGTCATGTCCAATAACTTCTAAATTGGGATTCTGATACTTTGTCAGTTTTGTGGATAATCACTCTCGTGTTACTTAGATTTATCTTCTCAAATATAGATCTGAAGTCTTTTCTACATTTAAACTCTTTGATTCTGAAATAGTCAATCATTTCAAGACTTCGATAAAAAAATTTGATCTGATAATGCAAAGAAATATTTCTATGACAACTTCACTAGTTTCCTTAAACAACATGGAATCCTCCATCAATCTTCTTATGTTTACACTTAGCAAAATGAAGTTACTGAACGAAAGAATAGACATCTTCTTGTTATTAATCGGACCTTGCTATTCCATCGCCACGTTCCCAAAAAAATTTAGGGAGAAGCTATCTTAACAGCATGTTACTTGATTAATCGAATGCCATCTTCAGTTCTGCAAGATAAAATTCCTTTCAAAGTTCCATACCCCAACGATGATCTCTTTCTGTTTCCTCTAAAGATTTTTGGCTCTCTGTGTTTTGTTCATAATCACAGTCCAAATAAACAAAAATTTGACTCTCGATCTATTAAAGGCATTTTTCTTGGCTACTCTCGAAAGCATAAATATTACAAGTGCTTCTGTCTATCCCTCAATCGTCTTGTGTTATCTGCTGATGTAACATGCTTCGAAGATAAACCCGGCCATTCTAGTTCTCCATCTCCATTATCACCGGATGAGTATGACTATTTAATCCTGCAAGAGTCATTGCTTAACAGTGGTGGTCCATCCGCTGACAATACTATTTACGCTACTGGCAAAGACTCAGTTCGGTTTAACGACCTAATTCAAGTTCCTGTGCCAACGTTAGTCTTAACACCACGTCCTCCGTCCGAAGAACCTGAATCAGTAAATGCAAATTTACCCCTTTCTGCGAAAGGCCTTCCTATTGCACTTCGGAAAGGGACACGAACTTGTACTCAATATCTTATTTCTAACTTTGTCTCATATGATCACCTCCCCTCTACCTTTTGATCTTTTGTTACTTCCCTCAACTCATATTTGGTTCCCAAGAATGTGTCAGAAGCCCTAGCTATTCTAGGTTGGAACTAAGCAATGCAGGATAAAATGTGGGCCTTGCAACAAAATAAGACTTAGGATTTGGTCCCGCTTCAACCAGGAAAGCGGCCTGTCAGCTGTAAGTAGGTGTACACTATCAAGTTGAATCCTGATGGAACTTTGACATGTCTGAAAGCCCGACCGGTTGCTAAAAGTTATTCACAGGTGTATGGCTTGGATTACATAGATATCTTCTCTCCGGTGGTAAAAATAACATCTGTTCGGATTTTTGTTTCGTTAGTAGCGACAAATCACTGGTCACTTTATCAGTTGGACATCAAGAATGTATTCCTTAATGGTATTCTAGATGAGGAGGTTTACATGGACCAACCACTATATTTTGTTGCTCAGTGGGAGAATGCGAATGTGTGTAAGCTAAAGAAATCACTCTATGGTCTGAAGCAGTCTCCAAGAGTCTGATTTGAACGTTTTACATCGGTTATTCAGGAATTTGAGCTTTGTCGTGCACAGAAAGATCACTCTGTCTTCTGACGATTTCAGAATGGGAAACGAATTTTGCTAGGTGTCTATGTGGATGACATTGTAATTACAGGGGATGATGCTTCTGGTATTGACAGCCTGAAGAAGCATTTACAGACACATTTTCAAACCAAAGATCTTGATTCCTTAAAATACTTCCTAAGCATTAAAATTACAAAGTCAACGAATGGTATTCTTCTATCACAAAGGAAGTATATCCTAGATATGCTCTCAGAAGCCGGGATGTTAGGATGCAGAAGCAGTGATTCTCCAATGAATGTGAACTCAAAACTACTACCGGACTAAGGGGAGCTTTTTGAGGACGTTAGGCAGTATAGGAGATTGGTGGGGAAATTAAATTATCTGACGGTGACCAGACCTGATATCACATTCACAATCAGTGTTGTGAGTCAGTTCTTGTCCGCACCAACTATTCACTTAGGTACAGTAATGAGAATTTTGAGGTACTTAAAGAAGGCTCCAAGACGAGCAATCATCTACTCAAATCAAGGACACACCAGAGTTACAAGCTTCTCTGATGCAAATTGGACTGGATGTCCTTTTGATAGGAGATCGACTACTCGAAATTGTGTCTTTCTCGAAGAAAATCTGGTGTAATGAAAAAGTAAGAAACAAAGTGTTGTGTATCAATCCGGTGCAGAATCAGAATACAAAGCTATGACAAATATGACACTTGAGATAGTTTGGATCAGAAACCTATTAAAAGAGATTGGTCTTCCTCCAGAATGTCTCATGAGTCTATATGGCAACAATAAAGCAGCAATTCACATTGATGAGAATCTCGTATTTCATGAGAGAACCAAGCACATTGAAGTCGATTGTCAAGTAGTCTGCAAGAAGCTCGAGGATAAAATCATCACGGTAAAACATGTATCGACAGTACATCAGTTGCAGACATTCTTACAAAACCACTTGGTCAAACACGGGTTGACTTTATTTGTAACAAGCTAGGCATGCATGATATATATGATCTAGCTGGAGGGGGGTGTTAGAAAAGAGTATTAGTTTAGCATTGGTTTAGTCTCACATTGACTATGAGACTAACTTGTAACTAATCCATCTCTATAAATAATAAAGTATAAAGTGAGGGGAGGACTCTCCAAGAAACTCTTTTCTCTCCAAATCTCAACAGTAACCAATTAGTTATGCCAACATTTATAAATGCACACTAGAATGTGCATACCTTAAAGAATCTACATACTCAACTAGCAAAGCATTCAATTCTCAACCACTTGATGCAAACATAACAAGTTGAAATACATGATTTTTCATATAAATCTGTCTATGTATCATATTCTTCTTGTTCCGAGTCATTTCCATCAAAATGAACTTGTCTACGGAGTGAAGGTTCAGTGAACAATTTAGCATAATGGTCATCCACCTATCAAAACCATCATATCTTTTTATAAAATCCTGCAAAACGAAATTATAGAAAAACAAGAACACAGGTTATGATAAGTCCTCAGAGACCAATTACCTAATGGGAAAACCTATACTAATGTCCATGTAAGCTCATCCACAAAAGAAGAGACCTCTAGAATTCTCCTAGACCAACAAAAAATTTAGAAGAAGCACAAAGATATAGGCAAAGGCACTCAACAAGAAAGATAATAACTCGAAGATTAAAACAAACAGTCAAAGATTGGATTATCCTATCCATTGTGATGGTACACCAAGATCGCTCATGACTGACGGTAGTGATGTTGTCTATAACCTTGGAATACTAAAAGCTACACTTTATTAGTGAAAGAAAATGAGTCTTTGATACATTTGCCCCTCTTTTGGTTTTGTTCCTACCAGAGCCATCTTATATTTCATTAATCATGTTACATACTAGTTGCTACGAAGTTATGAATTATACCTTGTATCCTTCATAGTCATCACTCTTTACAGCTTCTATCTGGAGCCTCAACTCTCCTGAACTCACCTTTTCAAGGGGAACCCACACATCCCTACAGGTTCCTTCTTCAATTCCTTCCATATTTACTTGTGCATTACCAATGTTCTCATCACCGAATTTATCCGCACTGTAGCACTTGATCTTGAGATACTCACCTCCTCCTATTTCATCTAAGTCAAACATTTGGTTCCACACAGGATTTGAAGCGTGAGAGATTGTCTTTGTTCTATGAACAGCCTGAAGAAAAAGATACACTTCATCAGCAATAATAATAAACATACAGGAAAAAATCCTATGCAGATCTGATACCTCCATTTATGATTTTCTATGGAGGA